CACAATCCAATGGAACTGATGGCCCTCTGTTCAGCAAGTAGACTGCAGTGCTGACTGCATCTGCCCAGAAATCCAGCGTGCAGCCTTATGCTTCTAGCACGCTCATTTATGGTTCTGTTCATACGTTCAGCAACTCCATTTTGCTGTGGTGTCCCAGGAATGGTCTTCTCCATTCTGATGCCCTGAGCTGCACAGTACTCCTTGAACCCGGCATCATTGTACTCACCACCATTATCAGACCTCAAACATTTCAGCTTCAAGTCTGTTTCTGTTTCTACCATGGCTTTCCAAACTTTGAATACATTAAATACTTCAGATTTATGCTTCAAAAAATAAACCCATACCTTCCTGCTATGGTCATCAATGAACGTGACATAGTAACGAGAACCTCCAAGAGATGCCACTGGGGAAGGTCCCCACACGTCTGTGTGCACAAGATCCAGTTTTTCAGGTCTCAGTGTTCTGCCACCTTTCAAGAAACTGACCTTCTTTTGTTTCCCCATGATGCAACTCTCACACATTCCGAGATCAACTGACTTCAGTTCTGGTAGCTTACCTCTTGACAGAAGTTCTTTCATGCCCTTCTGACTCATATGGCCAAGCCTGCAATGCCATAAATCTGATGTGCTCTCTGCAACGGTAGTAGCAATAGTATTATTCAGACCAGTAGTCGAATAGAGTGTACCCATTTTCTTACCCCGAGCCAGTACCATTGCCCCTTTAGTGACCTTCCAAGAGTTCTCCGAAAATACCACTGAATGACCACAATCATCAAGCTGCCCAACAGAAATAAGATTCTTCTTCAACTCAGGAATGTGCCTGACCTTTTGCAAGGTCCATTTGCTCTTGTTAGGGAGTGCAATGTCAATGTCTCCCATCCCTACCACGTTCAAAGCCTCTCCATCAGCCAAGTACACCTTCCCAAAATCACCTGCAACATAGTTCTGCATTATCTCCCGATGGGAAGATGTATGGAAGGAAGCCCCTGAATCCAGTATCCAGTCATCAACTGGACTGTGGACTGCAAGCAATAGTGCATCCTGTACTTCTTCAGTTACCATATTAGCACTATCATTCTCAGTTTTCTTGGGATTTTTACAGTTCTTCTTTATGTGGCCAGCTTTGCCACAATTCCAGCAAGTTGCCTGCTGACCAGGCCTTGACTTGCTCTTGCCCCTATTCGTTGATTTTGATCTACCTTTGTTTAAGTTCCTGTCTTGTGATCTCCCTCGAGAATCAACATTCAGTGCTGAACTCGAGCCCGAGGTCTCGCCTGAATCTCTCCTGCGCACCTCCTCAGCCAAAATCAAATCACGAATATCAACATATTTCAACTTTGATTTACCGGCAGAATTACTGATAGCCATTCTCATGGCTTCCCAACTATTTGGCAATGATGCCAACAGTATTAATGCACGTATCTCATCATCAAATTCAATTTCAACAGACGACAATTGGTTTGTGATGGTGTTAAAATCATTCAGATGTTGTGCAACAGACGTACCTTCTGCCATCTTCAAATTGAATAACCTTTTTATCAAATATACCTTGTTATTTGCTGAAGGCTTTTCATACATACCTGACAAAGCCGTCATGAGACCCGCAGTCGTCATCTCCTTACTGACGTTGTGTGCAACGGATCTCGACAGGGTTAGCCGAATAACCCCCAGAACCTGTCGATCCAACAGGTTCCAATCTGCCTCCTCCATTTTTTCCGGTTTCTTCCCCAACAATGGAAGATGGAGTTTCTTCCCATAGAGGTAGTCCTCTATCTGCATCCTCCAGTATCCAAAATCTGTGCCATCGAACTTCTCGATCCCTGATATCTTCACTTCGTCTCCAGCCATCGTTTTTCCTCAGACCCGAACCTTAGCTCTGATACCAATTGTTGTGAAAAAGATGACAATAAAAGTAAAAGATAAACACACGGATTTGCAGAGGAATTTTTATTTCTTGAGGAATCACAATACAGTAGTTGGGCGACTACTAATTTCGCTTACAAGCCATATGTCATAAAATAACATATATATAGTCAGAAGAAGAAAAACCCTAATACAATGAAAATACCCAAAATACCCTTGTGTGAATTTTCGCCAGTTGTGGCTGGGTGTCCAGTATAGTCAGGCTCCACACAACTCAACAATCTCCCACTTGGAGACTGATGCACCCATTGTATCACCTTCTTCCTCAAACATGATGTCCTCCACCTCTGCAACTCACTACCCATGTCTTCAAGCTAGAAGACCAACTGAAGTTGCACACAGCTTCAGTTTCTCAAGTGTAACACCCTTTGTCAACATATCAGCAGGGTTCTTACTTCCACAAATTTTCTCAAGCAGCAACTGTCCATCATCTAACAATGACCGTATAAAGTGATACCTGATCTGAATGTGCTTAGTCCTGGAGTGAAAAGCTGGATTCTTGGCAAGGAATATAGCACTCTGACTATCGCTGTAGAGAGTACCCTTCTGATTCTTTTTGCCCAATTCCTCCAAGAAGCCCTGTATCCAAATCATCTCCTTTGCCGCTTCTGATATTGCAATGTACTCAGCTTCTGTAGTAGATAAAGAAACTGTTTTCTGTAGATTAGAACCCCATGAAACTGCAGTACCACCCAGAGTATAAACAAACCCTGTGGTACTTTTCCTGCTATCAGTATCTCCAGCTAAATCAGCATCAACATAGCCCTTCACCTCCAAGCTCTCTCCTGAGAAACACAAGCACGTTTCTGAGGAGCCTTTTAGGTACCTCAGAATCCACTTCACTGCTTCCCAATGTTGTTTTCCTGGATTACTCATGTATCTACTCACAACTCCCACTGCATGGGCAATATCCGGTCTAGTGCAAACCATAGCATACATAAGTGAACCAATAGCTGAGGCATAAGGAACCTTACTCATGTAATCTCGTTCCTCCTCTGACTTAGGTGACTGATCCTTGCTGAGTCTGAAGTGACTGCCCAAGGGTGTGCCAACTGGTTTGGCCTTGTCCATATTGAACCTGCTGAGTATCTTTTTCACATACTCAGCCTGTGAGAGTCTCAACGTGCCCCTGACTCTGTCTCTAACAATTCTCATGCCAAGGATTTGCTTTGCAGCTCCCAAATCCTTCATTGCAAAATGCTCTGACATCTGCTTCTTTAGATTATTGATCTCATCAATGCTAGCCCCTGCAATAAGCATGTCATCCACATACAGCAACAAAATAATGTAAGAATTGTCAAAGTGCCTGACATAGCAACAGTGATCTGCCTGACATCTGATATACCCTACACTGCACATAAAGCTGTCAAATTTCTTGTACCACTGTCTAGGAGCTTGTTTCAGGCCATACAAGCTCTTCTTCAGTCTACAAACTGAACCTTCCTTTCCCTGCACTACAAACCCCTCAGGTTGGTACATGTAGATGTCTTCTTCAAGGTCTCCATGAAGAAAAGCTGTTTTCACATCTAACTGCTCAAGAAATAAATCTTCAGTAGCAACCATGGACAACACTAACCTGATGGTTGTAATCTTCACCACAGGAGAGAAAATCTCAGAGTAATCAATACCATGCTTCTGCTGAAAGCCCTTTACAACAAGTCTAGCCTTGTACCTTTTACTGCCATCATGCTCAGTTTTCACCCGGTACACCCACTTGTTGTGCAATGCCTTCTTCCCTGGTGGAAGTTCTGTCAACTCCCATGTCTGATTCCCTAACAAGGAATCCATCTCATCCTTCATGGCTAACTCCCACTTGCTAGAATTTTCATCTTGCAAGGTTTCTTTGTAACTCTGCGGTTCTCCATCATCTGTCAACAGAATATAATTTAAAGTAGGTGAGAACCGCTCTGGAGGCCGAATAGTCCTGACTGACCTGCGAACTGCAACTGTAGGAGTGGACGGCTCTGGATCTGACTGCGGAATAATAGAAGTGGGTGCATCGGACCCACTTTCCCCGTCACTCACATCTCTGCACTGCACTGTGGCCTCTGGTAGGTCATCCAATCTCACAAACTCAGACTCCTGAGGAGCTGCTTCAACAACTGTACTGGACTTGTCCTTGTACACAATCTTCTCATTGAAGATCACATTCCTGCTTCTTATAATCTTCCGACCTTGATCATCCCAGAAACGATAGCCATATGCCTCGTCTCCATAGCCAATGAAATAACATTTCTTTGACTTAGCCTCAAGTTTACTACGATCATCAGAATCAACAAGAACATAGGAAAGACAGCCAAAAGTTTTAAGGTGAGAAAATTTGACCTCTTTCCCGCTCCAAGCCTCCTCAGGCAATCCACAATCCAATGGAACTGATGGCCCTCTGTTCAGCAAGTAGACTGCAGTGCTGACTGC